GTGGGGCCGCCCCGAGGAACACTTAAGGAAAGGACAGCAGGGGCCCCTCTGGGGGAGCGGCCATGGCCTGGGCTAAGAGCCACAGTGCAGCCTGCCTGAAGCCTGCCTGAGCCCCTGTCCAGGGCCAGCAGCTGACGTCCCTCCCTGCACGTCCCCTGCACAGACCACTATGGTGCCGGCAACATGGCTTCCCAGCACGTCCCCAGACCCTTGGAAACCAGGAGCCACCAAAGGCAGAAGGATGGGGCCCAACGAGGCGGACCCCACACCGACGCCAAGTGGGGGATGTGCCAAGTTTCCCAGGACACCCACCACCCACACACCACTACCCAGGTGGAGACCTGGGACTTGGCTGCAGAGGTCACCAAAGGCCGTGCCCTGCCTCCCCCCCCCCCCCCCCCCACCAAAAAGGAAACAGCCAGGCTATCTGTTCTGGCAGGGGCTACCCTGTCCCCTCACCACTGCATCCCCAACGGCCAGCCCCTCAGTGCTGTCCGTGCACAGGGTGCTCTAGAAGCTTCTGCCCTCTCCTCAGTGAGGTCCGTCCCATTTGGTGTGTTTCTGTCGCTTGCAGCCTCAGCGCCCTGACAGTGACCACGGGACGCTGGTCAAGCATTAAGAACCAAGGGCCAACAATAAGGCCTAAGAGGCGGTGACAGCAAGGGCACACGGAGTGAATGCGGTTTAAGTGACACGCACCGGACAGGTAGACTTGCACGGACCGAATCCAGCCAGAGGGGCTTTCTGGTGTTTCCTCATGCTTTTTCCTATTTCCCAAATATTCCATGAGTGTTTAATGCTTTTGTAAATGAGAAGACAGGCAACATGCACTTTTCGGGACCTCCAGATCAGTGAGGAGGGTGAGAACGGGGCAGCCCACCCACAGCCTGCAGTCAGGTACGCACCTCACCTTGCCTGAATCTCAGCTTTTGACCAAGATCCTGTGGTCTTAGCTAGGAGACCGCTGGCCCTGGCAGTCATACAACCCAGAGCTCAAAAATGCCCTCTAAGCAGCGCCCCCGATCTGGGTTCGCACACTTCCGGGCACAGAGTACGCGCTCACTCCCTCCCGAGGGAGGACGTTCAGACTCCCTTATTTGGGCCTGAGGCTCAGGCTCCTCTCTGCTCCAGGGCCTTTGCATGTGCTCTTCCTGGTGCCAGGAACCGTTTTCCCCAAGGACTCTACATGGCTACTTCAGTCTTATCTTTAGGGTCTCAATGGAAACACCCCAGCACTCGGGGTTCTAACAGGAATCCACGTGCTGAGTCCTACGTGCTGAGCAAACATGAGGGGAATGCTACCATATGACCTGGACGGGGAGCCAGTGTGCCCACTTATGCCAGACTCCCAGGCAAGTCCCAGCCTTCTGGGTGTCCCAGCCTGACTGATACCCTCCACAGCAGGCCAGGTAGCACCTCCTCCAAGAAGCCTTCCCTGACCACTGGGCTCCTGCAGGCCCTGTCCTGACACTTCCAGCCTCTCACAGCTTCCAGCCTACCCCCACCAACCCTGAACTGGCAGAGTAAGGGGGAGTGGGGAGCCGGGAGGGCTGGTGGGGACTAATGGTGGGGACTGATGGTGGTGGGGCAGACTCCTTGACAGAAGGAAAGCCCAGATAGATGGCTGGTCCCACCCAAGGTCACATAAATGGAAAGCCACAGAGCTAGGGCCCAGGCCCCCACTCTCCAGCTGGAAGAGAAGGCTCTGGGACCCCTGCCCAAAGCCAGGACAGGCCCTACCATCACCACAGAGCAGGCTGGCCAAAGGAAGGCCACATCAGGCCCCCAGACACGGGGCCCAGCTGGCTCCGCTTGGCCGTGCAGCCACCCGGGGGTCTCCTCCTTCCTCTGGGCCTGCAATCTTCCCTGCTGCCCACCCCCCGCCAAATGAGAGTACCCACCCATTGAGCTGTCCCTGGTGCAAGGAGCTCTAGGCCCAGCCCTAGGGGCACCAGACCGACAGCCCCTCCTGGAAGGCAGCGGAGGGTGGGGTAGCACTGAGCAAACTCCAGAAGCTTCTCTGCTTCCTTCCAGTACCTGCCTACCCACAGATCCCATCAGCCCCCACAGAAACCATGGTGCACCCTCCCTGTAATCTGTCCACTCAGCAAACATCACGGGCCCCCAAGAGGTGGATGCAAAAGGCTCCCCTCCTCATGGGAGCCTGAGACCTTCAGCCCCAAGAGAAATGCCATCCTTGCTCCTGCTGAGGCTCCAAAGTGCCCAGTGTAGGATCAGCCAGAGCTCTGGGGGACCCTCCATCGGCTCCTAACCCCTGCAGGGGGCCAGCAGAGGAGGACCCAGGAGGTCCCCCACCCTCCCAGAACTGACTCTGGCTCCTACCACCTAATCATTATGGAATTCTCAGCCAATCCCCTCTCCGAGCCTCAGTTTGCTAATCTGTATGATGGAGACAACCATTTTCATCTCCCAGGCTTGGAAGAGATAGGGCTAGTGAGAGACAGCCCCACACATGTTCCCAAACCAGAGCCTAGCTCATGGGGTTTTCCAGTGGGTTTTACCAGGGCTCCCAGCAGTGCATGGTGGGGGCAGGAAATAGCGAAGAAGGGCCAAGGCTGGTCTCCTCATGCCACACACACCCTCTCTTCCCTGAACCCAGGCCCCACTTTTCCCCTGGGTAGTCCAGAAGGTAGACCTCCTCCCTAGCTGGATCCAGCCCACATGGGGGGGTGGGGAGGGGGTGGGGGACTGCCAGACCCTTCAGCCTAGGTGGGGGCCGGCCTAACAGGCTCCCAGACCGGGGCAGGGGGTCCCTGGGTTAGGAGGATGAGGGCTCCACCACCCAAAGCAAGAAATGGGATGGGAACAGCTGCCCCCCTCCATCCCAGTGAGGAACACTCCACGGGAGGCACAAAAAGGCTCCAGGCCATGGCCCCCACTGACCCACTGCCCAGCCACCCACGAAAGTAGCTCTGTCTGTTGCAACCAAAAATGGAGCTGGAGCACGGGGCCCTTGCATCCCCCACTGTGACCCCATAAAATCTGCCAGCCCAGATTTCAGGGTGTGACAATGAAGGATTGGAGAGGTCAAGCGCTTGCCCCAAAGCACCAGCACGGGAGGCAGGGGCAGGATGTATGTCCGGGCCTGGCTCACGCTACAGCCCCCAGTCAGGAGCAGAGGCGGCGGGGGATGGAGACGGGCTGGTTTCCACGCTGTGAATTATTCAGTGGCTAATTCGGCTCCACAGAGAGGAGGCAGGAGAGTGAGTCAGAGCCCTCCCACAGCGGAGGAGGGAACAGTGCTCACAGAAGCTGAGGGCAGACATCAGGGACCTCTCAGGGGCACAGGGCCCTGCAGGGGGTCAGGCTGAGCTGCGGGGGCCCACCATCATTCTGGAGGCTTCCACAGGCTGGAGGTGTCGGCCCCTCACTCACCACCCACAACGTGTCCCAGGATCTCCAGAGGGCAGGAGGGGCTCCAGCTGGTCCAACCGAGGCGGGCAGGCAGCACAGCAAGCCTCAGGCCAGCAGGCCAGCTCTGTGTGGGTCCCAGATACCCCAGGTGGCCCCAGCGGCAGCCCCAGAACCTCCCAACTAATAACCGGCGGAGAACTTCCGCCAGCACAGACCCTGGCCTCCAGGAGCCAGGGGCCGGACATGGCAGAGCCAGGACATATGGGAGGCCCCAGGGAGCACAGAAGGGTGCTGCTCCCACACCAGTCCGTACCCCAGGGCTGGGCTCCTAGGACGTGGGCGTCGAGTTTTCTAAAAATCTTGCCATCTCTGGGCATGCCTGGGCCAATCCCTGGCCCCCTTTCTAGTCTGCTTGGAAACAGATCAACAGGGCTGGGGGAGCAGGCCCCAGGTGAGCACTGAGGCTGGGAGTGCTGGGTTCCCATGGTGTCCTCGCTCTCTGCTTCCGGTTCTTGCTCTCTAGATAAGGGCAACCAGGGAACACAGAGTTCTACATAGGTGAGGTGTGATCACGTCCACGGAATCCTGGATTCCCAGGCCATCTCCACCAGCAAGGCCATTCCACTCCACCCAGGGCTCTGCAACAATCCCTCGAGAGAAAGAACCTCAGGGGTGTTCCGGGTGACCAGGCATCCCAGTCATGGGGTTTCTGGAATCCGGATCCCCAGGCAGGAAGGAAATGCCCACAGCCTGGTCCCCTGCCCTGCACTCAAATGACAGCAGCTCAGTGCGGGGGGGTGGTGCTTGGACTCGGCATGACCCCAGGCCTAGGGTTCTACTGGGAGAACCTGGCCCCTTGGGCAGAAGGCTGCAAAGGCTCCCACTGCCCCTTTACAGCCTCCCAGAAGGAGGCCCATCTTGAGTGCCTGTGGCCAGGCCTCCCATCCCCAGGGGCTCCTGGCAGCCACGGCTCCAGCCAGTCCAGGTGTCACCAGAGCACACACTGCACCCAGCAGGGAGTCACTGCCCGCCTGAGAGGGCTGGCATCTGCCCAGCTCACTCACCCACCAAAATCTTGGCAGGGAGTGGGATTCCCCAGCCCGGGGCAGGGGGAGCAAGGAATCCCCTCCTGGCTGCACCCAGTGCTCTGAGGTATCAGCTTGGTCTCAGAGCCCTGGGCTCCTCTGGGGTGGGGGCTCTGCAGGGCCCCAGGTCAGGACTGCCCCAGGTGATGGGCAGGGGCCTGGGCTGGAGCTGACAGCTGGCAGAGGGGGCTCCACGGAGGGAAGCAAGGAGGCTCCACATGACCCCAGAAGGGAGGGCCTAAGTAACACCAGAGGAGAAGGCTAGAATCTGCAGGAGGGCCATGGACCCTCCATGCAGGATGGGGGTCTTTAGACGCTCGCAGAGGGGAGCCCCAGGACGCAGGAGGCGACCCTGTAGAAGAAAGGGGCTCTGACTCACGAGAAGGCGGAGGCCGTGACCCTCCAGGAGGACAGGGGGCGACGGCGACCCTCGGAGAGGAGGACCCCCCCCAGACCCTCGACTGCGGGGGGTGGGGGGTTGGGAGTCTTCAGACCTTCGAACGGAGGGGCCCTGACCCCCGACCCGGGGGGCCGCGTCACCTGCTGGTAGTCGGTGTCCTCGGGTCGGAACTGGCTGCTGGTGGTCTCCCAGCGCAGGTCGAAGTGCGGTAGCCGGTGCAGGAGGTTCACCCACCAGGGCGCCGCGTAGCTGACCCCGGCCATGGCGGGCTGGCCGCCTCGGGCGCTTGCCGCCGCGCGGCTCCTTCGCTGGCCCGGGGGCGAGGGGTTCAGGGGTCCGCCAACCCCCGCCTGGCCGCCCGCATCGCCCGCGCGCTCCTGGGCCCGGCCCGGCCCGGCTCGGCCCGGCTCGGCTGCGCTCGGCTCCGCTCGGCCGCCCGTGCCCGCCGCCTCTTTGTTCGCCGCCGCCGCCGCCGCCGCCTCCGCGCGCCCCCGCCCGCAGCCTGCCGCCCCGCCCCCGCGCTGCCATTGGCCCGCCGCCCGGCGGCCCCGCCCCGAAATATCGCCCCGCCCCCCACCGCCATTGGCCCGCGGCCCGCCGGCGCTGCCCCTCTGTCCGCCCGCCCTCTTCCCGCTGGCTCCGCCCCCCCCCCGCGCGCGCGCCCACCTGCCCCGCCCCCGTGCCGCCACTGGCTCGCTGGACCAGGCTCCGCCTACCAGGGCCCCTTCCCGGGGCCGAGGGGCGCCTGGCGGGGAAGGCTGGGTGGAAGCCAGGACGCTGTCCCTCCACCCGCAGTTGGGGTTGGGCGCTGGGACCCTGGCGGCACGTCCACTCGCCCGGACGCGCTCCCCCGGGCGCTTGTTCGTTGGCTCGACCACTGCACGTTCCGTGAGCTTCTGTGGGGGTCGGCGTGGAGGGGCCTGGGCGGCCTCCTGCGCACGCAGCCTGTGCAGCCCGCAGGCCTGTCAAATAATGGTGGTCTGGACTCCCAGACGGCCTTGGTCGTCCACGGCTGTGTGATCTGGAACAAGTTAAGATGCTCTCTGTTCCTCAGTGCCCTTGTCTGTGAAAGGGAAGTACAATGAGTGTAAGGGCTCAGGACATCGAAGTGTGGCCGAGGAGTGTGTAAGCGGACCGGCGGGTGGATTCAGTCCCGGCCTGGCCACCCCTTTGGGGAAGGGCGTGTCTTCTGTTAAAACCCAAGAGAAACAGTGCTCTGTCCTGGCCTCCTTGAGCCTGGAAGTTAAGGCAACATCCTGGGAGGGCCCAGCACGGACTTTGGAGCCACACAGTCACACTTCCTAATAAGCAGCGTCATGCTTACTAAAGTCAAGTTGGGAGCCCCAAGGACAGAGGAATCTGGAAATGCTCTGTGTGCATGGCCGTGGCTTGCTCTCTCTCTGCACCCCAGGGCAGTGGGTGCATATCCTCTTGGCTCTGGTTTGTCACCACCCTGCAGCATTGTGTCCGGACCTCTTGCCTTCTGAGAAACAGGTCCCTCCCTACACCTGGGACTTTGCCACCTGCACACTCTGGCTCAGCCAGCTCTGTGGGCAGACAGGCCCCTTCTGGCAGGCTGGGCTGGGCTCTTGCAGATGCTGGGCAGTGCTTCCCAAAAGGCCTGTCCCTCTGCTCACCAGATTGCCCTGACTTGTCTGTCTTCCTGTGATAAGGCTGGGTGGCCTCCCACCATGTCCTGCAAAGGCCCATGGGTATAGGAGAGGCCTTTGCAAAACTGTGGTTTCCTCCCTCGGGATAATTTGGATACCACCCTGCTGGGGAATAACGGCCTGACAGGAAGAGAGAGGTCATATTCTCCATCCCTAAAGGACATAGTTTCTGGTTGTTAACAGCTGGTCACACAGCCATGCTTTACCCTGCTTTACCCTGACTCCCATGCTCCCAACACCAGTGTGGCAGGTCTACCAGGGCCCCCTGGGGAGGCATGGGGTCTATGAGCTCTTTTCCATGTTTCCAGAAGCCTCAAAATATTGTGCATTTTCCTCTGATAAGGCCAGAAATCCTGACCCAAACATATGAAATGATAACCCAACTGTATTGAGTTGACTTGTATCCCCTGCCCCCCAAAAAAGGTATGTCCTTGTCTTACCTTCTGGTGCCTGCAACTATGATTTTATCTGGAAATAGGACTGTTGCAAATGTGATCAAGTTATGAGGTCCTACCAGATTATGGAGGGCCCCAATCCAATGACGCTGTCTTCATACGAAGAGGGAATTTGGACATGTCAGCTCAGAAATACAGAGACATAGGGGAGAACACTGTATGAAGACAGGGCAGAGATGAGGGTGATGTGCAAAATGGGATTCCTGCAGACCAGCACCCAAAAAGGCAAAGGGTAAAAGGGGAATACTGGGTTGGAGGGGAAGGGCACAAGTAAGGCCTGTCCCTACTCCACCCTCCTTTGGCCTGGTGGCATTGCGTGGAGTGACGGTGGTTTTTCCTGCCTCTCCTAGGTGACTGTGGCCAGACTCTGGCCCCACTCTACAGATGGAGAAACTGAGGCCCAGGGCCCACCATTGCTCTGGAGGCATGAGAATCACCACCCAAACAGGGAACCAAGATTCAGCCTTGTGCTGTGGACCATAAATGGAAGGACCTGAAGGAGGGCCCTAGTGGGAGAGGTCAGAGAGCACTCAGTATGCTACACGGGCCACTGACCAGGGCACCAAGGGACAAACTTTGAGTGACTCAGCAGTGACTCAGGAGAAGGCAGCAGATGGGGAAACATTTAGTCGTCCCCCAGCTAGGGAAGCAGCTGGGGTGCCCCAGCGGGCGATAAGCTTCTGGGGCATCCCATCCCCTCTGCTATGGGGACCTGGAGCCGGGAGCCCCGAAGGCCTTAGCAGGGCCGGTCAGTTAAGGCAGGAAGGACAACTGGCAGGCCCCAGCTGAGCAGCCCTGAGCCAGATATCCCTGGAGCGTCTACACCCCCGGTGTCCTCCGGCCCCTGGCCAGGTGTCCATGTCACAGAGCGGGGGAGTGTCGGAGAGAGGGGTTTCAAGGCTTAGCAATGAAGACACTTGTTCCTCATCCACACAGTCAGGTGGGAGACAGGCGGGCTTCCGTGTCCTGTATTTGAAACGAGATTAAAACCCGTCCCATGTCCTACGGAGGTGGCGTTGGGGAGGCTGTGTCTGGAGCCTGCAGCAGGAGCTGGCTCCCCGATGCTCTCCATGTGCGTGTCCCATCCCGGGGCTCCCACAACCTCTTGGCCTCTGAGCCCCGAATCTCTTCTATCCTCTGTTCCTAAGTTAACTTTCCCACACGCCACCTCTGATCTCTCTGTGAGCCTTTGCCTTCTCAGGGCTGAAACGGGTAGAGTCAGGCCTTGCTCAGGGGCAGGTGAGAAGCCAGTGAGGTGACATCACACAACAGCACTGTTCTCCGGAGCCGAGAGGCAGAAACCACCCACGTGTCTACCCGTGGGCAGCAGACGTGGGGCAGCCTCCCAGCGGGGCGAACTCTCCAGCCCTGAAGGAACGGACTTCCAGCATGGAAGGGTTTCAAAAACGTGAGGCCGAGTGACAGAAGCCAGACACCAAAGGGCTACGTCTCATGGGATTCCATCTCTAAGAAACGTCCAGAGTGAGCAAACCCACAGGAACGGAAAGCCCGGGGCTGGGGTTGGCGGGGGCGGGAGGAACGGGGAGTGACTGATTTCCCAGGCATTGGGCTTTCTGCTCGGGTTGATGGGGGTATTTTGGGAAGAGAGGTGGTGGTTGCACAACAGTCAGAATTTACCGAGTGCCACTGAAATGCTCACTTAAAAAGGGCCAGAATCATTACGTAGATCTTGACCGCGCACACACAAAAAACGATGACAACCCTGCCGCCCCCTCCCTCCCTCCCTTCCTTCCGCTGGAGTCGAGTTCGTAAGTGAAGGACAGAGACAAGAAAGCTGCTCGGAAGCATCTGGTAGAAGCATCTGGAAGGGAATGGGAGGGCAGGCCAGGCCGGGAACTCCCCAGGGCCCGTGTCCCAGGCTAGGAAGGTGGTTGCGTCGAGGCTCCTGAATGGCTGCCCCAAGACCTGTGGGCGCCAGGAGAAAGGCCAGGCAGGGCGGGGTCCCCAAATGCCAGGGTGGAAGCCAGAACAATGGCGTCCCCTGCCTTTGGACCCCTTCCAGGGTTCACATTTTCCATGGAGATAGCACTCATGAGAACTGGCAGGGAGAAGAGAAAGCCAGTGGCTGGGTTTCCCCGGCGCCTGCCGTGATGTGGTTGGGTGATGCACCGCTGCGTGGCCAGCCCCACACGCACTCCCTGCACACACCTGGCTCCTGGGTCCCGGCCCATGGGAAAGCCTCAGGAGCTCTGCTTTCAAGGTACCTCGTGGAGCGATGCGGCTGGTGTGGTTCCTGAGGGGTCCATAGAGAAAGCCGGACACGGACCCAGCCACAGTGAGCTGCTGAGCCCCCCTCACTGTGGGGAGCACTGTGCCAAGAGTCACGGGAGGGACCTGGGGCTCATCCTGGGCTTTCTCTGCCAACTACGAGCCCTTTGGAAACCCGTGTCACCTTCGGGGGCTTTGTGCTTGCTAAGCCCTGTGTCCCCATTCTACAGCTGGGAAAACGGAGGCTCCCCACCGTAATCCTGGCTCATCAGCAAAGCAGAAAGCTGCATTCAGTGGCTCCTCTCCCTCACAGGGCGGGACTCCGTACAGGACATGACACAGACATTCCCACAAACGTGCCGGACTGCAGCCGGACGGCTCCTCTCTGCAGCCCATGAAGGAACCGTCACTCCCTCACATTGCAGACAAGGACACTAAGGCCCAGAACATGAAACCGCTTGCCCCAAGTCCCAGGCCAGGAAGCTGGAGACAGTGTCCCCCCTCGTGGTAGGCACCACAGGGCCACGGCTAGTCATCAATGTGTCCTCGTCCACACTGAGGTCTGGCCTTTGCCTTCGGCTTCAGGGAGATGCACGTCATGTCTGGCGGCCGTGTCTTTGTTTTGAGCAAGGACTGACCACATCAGAGAGACCGGCCGTGTGATTTAGAATGGGGGCTTCGGGTCATACAGTGTCCATTGACCTGGTGACCCTGTGGGCCATGATCAATTGACCGATCAATCAATCTTGCCTGCCTAATGGGAGCCACGCACCAAGTCTGGAGGCTGGGGCTGGGCTGGGCAGCCCTGGCTGGCCACACTCCGTACATTTGGTCGCACATCAGTGCTGGAGGCTCACACTCCCTGAGCACAGCAGGAACCTTGCCCGTGGACCTCTCCCGGAGCCCCATCTTGTGACACTTCCTCAGGCTGATTTTCATCCCTTGCTGTAATCAACTGTAACAGTGAGTCCGTGAGTCCTTCTAGTGAGTTCTCGAATCTCCATGTGGTTTGGGGAGCTCTCCAGGCTTGTGACAGCCAAAGTGAGAAATGGTGACCTCAGGATCCCGGCTGATGACCT